GGTGTTGAATGAGCCACTTTTGAATGTGTTGCTCCAGTTGCCTCCGGAGTTCAGGACTGACTGGAAAGCTCTCAGGAACGATTGCTGTCAAGCTGTCCTGGGGAAGGTTAGGAGTGGAGATGCTAAAGACGTCCTGAGGTTTTTGGGCCCTAGAGGGTAAAGCCAACCCACCTTCTAGTTGTTTAGAAGACCATTCAGGGCACTGCATTTCAGGTAAGGTGAGAGCTTGCGCCTTATTCTGCGACGCAGGGCAAGCTACTCCAGAATTATTAATTGGGGATGCAAAAGCAGGAGATTGCACTGGGAAAGAGGATTGAAGACGGGCCTGAGCCTGCGCCTGAGCCATAGGTGACAGCTGGAATTGGGGTGTGGGTGAAATAAAGGGTTGGGACTCAGGCCTCAGATGGGACAGGTGCTGGGCCTGGAAAAGCAGTGGAGATATTATAGTCTCTGTTTGAACTGGGCGGACATTGGGAATGCCATTGAACAAGAAAGGAGGAGACTGTAAAGTATAAGATCTCTCAGACACCCAGGCGTTAGCCACCAGAGATTCGCTGTGCAGAGAGGGGAGGCCCCAGAAAAGCTGGCTATAATTCTTCTGAAAATGTTCCTTCAGGATTCTAGGATCTGAGAGCTTCTGAGGACTGGACGACTGTGTCAAGTCTTCCATGTTCCAGACGGGTTTTAGGGTTGTGGTGTCCTGCTCAGCATCCAATGATTTCACCCAATTCCCCAAAGAATTCAGGCGCTTTTCTGTGTTCATTTGCTTTGGAAATGATCCATCTTTTTCTTTTTCCTCCCAAACATTGATCCTGGCTCTTTCTGTGACTTGTATCCCCACAACATTCTGGCCATCAGAGCTGAGCAAAAAGGGGCTACCAGCTTCCATCCGACTGTTTGTGGGGTCACCAGAGGACGAGGTTTCTGGTGGGTGGCAGGAAAGATGATCTTGCTGGACTGATGAGTTGAAGATGCACCAGGTTCTGGTAGTTTCCTGACACCAGAATGCAGACACAGAGACATGACTGCTTGAGCCGCCAAGGCCTGAGATGGCTGGGCCAGAAGTCGCCAAATCCTCACATGGAGATGAGCTTTGATGGATGGTGCCCAGTGGAAGCGCCACTGAGTCACAGTGAGATGGAGTCGTCAGAGTGGAGTCCCGCAGGGGAGGAGCAATGACGCCTTTCGGAGGAGGCAGAGAGCCGGCCAGAGGATCAGGGGTGTGTGGTGGGTTAGGGAAAACTGCAAGTGGCTCAGGTGAGGGGTGTTCCAGGGGAAGGGAAGGTTCTGGTGGTTGGGAGGCACTCAGAGGGGAGACTGAGGTGGCCACTGGGCTTGGTGATGGGGTGGAGCCCAGAGGCGAAGGATGCTGGGTTTGAGGATCCGGGGAAGCTAATGGGGAAAGCACGGGAGCGGTATCTTCCATCGGCTCCTGAGGGGACTGGGAGGCTCCATCAGGTGCTCTTTTGCACTCCTCATCTGGGGGGTCCGGACCAAAGAGCTGACCAAAGTCTTTACCTTTCTTAGGATGCGGCCCCAGGATGCTGCAGGAGACAGGAGGCACAAGCTGCAGCCAGGAGCAGGTAGGGCCATAGGGCAGAGTGGGCGCATGGGCCCCGGCCCCTCCACTGCCCCACACCCAGACTCCCCAATTCTCCTATGCCCCTCCACCACCCCACACCCAGACCCCCAATTCTCCTCCTATGCC